TGTAATTGTTTGAGGAATTTCAGGTGTATGTTTACCAAGTTCTCCTATGTCGATTTCTCCTGGACATTTTCTGAGTAGGGTGGAGTACCAAGATTGGGTTTTAGTCCTTCATCTTGTCCTGTTTAATGCCAGAGGCAGAGCACTCAGTCCTCCTCTTCCCTGGAAGCTCAGCGAAGGTTGCTAGCATCCCTAGTTTTCCTGGTAGCCAGTCTTGCCCCTCAGTGTCTGCTGAGATGTGCTGCTTAGTCTGGGGATCTTCCAGCACATGGTGAAGTGTACCTAATTCTCCCAGGTCTCAGACTTGAACCGCAATTTTGTTAAATCGCAGACCGTCTCATCCAGTGTCCACTGGCAGCTCAGGGCATGTGTATGCTCCAGAAGCAGGCAGTATTGGTGGTGTGATCATGGTCCTGTGTCCCCAGGCAGTTCAGGTTGCAGGCAGAACCCATACACGAACTGCCGGGTAAGCAGTTCGTGGACTACCTGATTCTAGGTCTCCTGGCAGCTCAGGGCATGCGCAGGAGCCGGATGCAGGCTGCACTGGTGCTGATCATGGACTGCCTGTTACTGTGACCTCTAGGAGGTTAGGGTGCGTGCAAAGCACAGACATGAACTGTGGTGTCAGCAGTTTGTGGACCACCTGCTCTAGTACCTCAGGCGGCACAGGGCACACAAAGGGAGGGCCCAAACGTGAGTCCCAGTATTAGCAGTTCCTTAGACTTTCTGAGTCAGAATCTCCTGTTTGCACCGGGCGCCCGGAAGGTGAAGACACAGACTGTAATGGTAGCAGGGTCTTGGGTCGCCTGATCTGCCCCCAGGAAGTAAATGGGGAGTTTGTCTGCCCTTTAGGTATTCTATCTGGGCTACCTAGCTTAGGGTGAGTGCCAAACTAATCACTGGACTAATATAGTAATCATATATCCTTAATCTGAGGAGCATACACTCCAGATCCAGCCACTTCTGAGAAAGTCTTGCTTATGACTGCATGAGGCTTTGGGGGAACATCTAGACACAAATTGTAACAGCCCTTATTAGAAATTTGATGTAATAGAAAATAAGATTGATTTTTACTAAGAACCTAAGCCTGCTTCAGTTTAGTATAATCACATTACAGTATGGATTTATTTTACCATTAATAAAAGACATGTTATAATCCTGTCATTTGGAGCTAGGGATGTGGCTCAGTGGTACCGCTCTTGCCTTGCATGCACAAGGCCCTGGGTTCGATCCCCGGCACCACATATATAGAAAAATGAATAATAATAATAATAATAATAATAATAAATAAATTAAAAAAATAATTCTGTCATTGTTCTCTTTAAGCATATTTGTTTTCTTAAATTTTGTTTTACAGATTAAAAAAATAAAAAGACCAATAAAACAGCTTCAAAGCAGGTTAGTAGCAGAGTTACAATAATTAATACATTGTGTATTGTATTTTCATTCTAGTTATTCAGAGTACAAGATATAGGCATGATATCTTGTCCACACAACATTAGCACAAACCTTTCTTATCAATGAACTAAGGAAAACTAGCTGTATAATTATCTTAACTCTCTTATGTATAAATGTATTTTTTTATTTTTCCCTTCCTTTTTTTCCCTTTTCCCCCATCACAATTTGTCTCTTCTTTTGAACAGTTTCTTCCCAATTCACAATATCTATTGTACATTTTGGACCTTATTTGCTCATTCAGTTTCTCACATTAGTGAGACTGTACAATGTTTACACATATGGGTCTGATTTATTTCATGTGTGAGTATGGTCTCAAGTTGTGTCCATTTAGCTATAAAAGTGTCAAGTTTATCCTTCTTTATGTCTGGGTAGTATTTCATTACATGAAAACAACCACATCTTTTTTATCCATTGCTCCGTTGATGGGCATTTGGGTTGCTTCCAAGATTTAGTTATTAGAAACTGTGCTGCTATAAACATGGTGCACATATATTGCTGTGATATGATGTTTTTAATTCTTCTGGGAAGATACCAGAAGATGGGACTTCCAATCCTAGTTTTTGAAGGAATCTCCACACTGAGTTCCACAGTGTTTACACTAGTCTACACTCCAACCAATAGTGGACAAGGATTCCTTTTTCTTTAGCCATATTTGAATTTTTTTTTTTCTTTTTACCTTACAGGGTATCCTCAAAACTATAAAGAGATTTTTACAAAATCCTTTAAGAAACTATTTTTTGGGGAAAGTAGAACATATAATAGGTCAAGAGCATAATAAAAAAACCCTTAATATGGAAGAGCTATTATCTACCTTAAAAATCAGATCTTTAAGTAGACTTGTGAATAAATCCAACAGTTTTGCTGTGTTCACTTAGATCTTAGGAAAGATGATAATCATACAGAAATTTAAAGATATCAAAAGTTTTTAATACATTGTATATCCAAGTAGCCTTTGTTAATGAGATAAAGGTTATTCCTTGAGATTATTAATAGAATAATAAAATTTTGCAATTGCTAAAACCTTAGAACTCAAAACAGCCAATTTGTTTCAAAAGAAGAAATATTAGTGGAATTTATATCTAGAATCTTGAGTCAGTTTCTTTTGTGACTGTGTTTAGGACTAGATGTCGTAACTTACTTTAAATCTGTTTGGTTTTAAATAATATGGACAAGGCTATTTCTGATTTTTCTTTCAAAAATTTGTTTATTTACTTTATGATGTTTTTTGCAACAAGGTCATTTTAAGGATGAGTAAGAAAAAATTGGAAACAACTTCCCAACAGAGGAAAATTCCCGAATGGATGTCGGTGCAGAATAAACAATGTGCTACAGAAGGAAAAAAGGTGTAGTGTTCATTTAATTTTTTTTCAGTTTTAATTTTTTATTAGTGCAGTACGTGTTTACAATACATAATGATTACATTCCTCATGGGGAATTAGTGCATGTACATAACACATCTTAATTTATTTTCATCCCCTTTTTCTCTTTCCATCCCATCTCCCTCCTGTAATCACATCTCCTTCCATCTCTTGATCTCCTCTCCATTTGCAAAGGTCTATCTCCCTACTTCCTATTATGTCTCTCCTATTTTGCCTTTGTGTTTCTCTTACAAGAGAAACCATGTACTGTTTGAGCATGTGAGTCTGATTTATTTCACTTAACAGTGTGGTTTCCAAGGAAATCCATTTTCTTATAGATAACTCAAGTTTATTGTTCTTTATGGCAGAGTAGTACTGCAGTGTGTATGTATACCGCATCTGTTCTTTCAGATGGAAAATGTAAATTTTCATTAAAATTTTTCATTAGTCATTTGAGAAATGCAAATTAAAAGAACATTGAGATTTCATCTCACTCCAGTAAGAATGGCTGTCATTAAGAAATCAACCAATAACAAATGTGGGCGAGGCTGTGGAGAAATAGGAACTCTTCTCCACTACTGGTGGGAATGCAGACTGGTGAAACCACTGTGGAAATTAGTTTGGAGATTCCTCAGCAAACTCTGGCTAGAGGTCCCATTCAATCCAGCTATTCCCCTTCTGGGTATTTTCCCGGAAGATCTGAAAACATCGATCAATATATATGCACCCATGTTTATAGCAGCGCAGTTGGTAATAGCTAAATTGTGGAAGCAACCCAAATGTCCATCCACTGAGGAATGGATAAAGAAATTGTGGTACTTTTATATTATGGAATATTACTCACCTATAAAGAAAGATAAACTCGAGGCTTTTACAGGTATATAGTCAAAACTAGAGACCATACTCATAAGTGAAATAAACCAGACCTCCATGTGTAAGTAGTGTATTGTCTCATAGTGTAAGAACTTGAAAGAGTGAATAGAAATTAGGAGTGTGATAGACATTGTGAAACGAAAAGAAAATGCTCAGAAGTAAAGAGCAACTGGGGTGAGGGCAAAGAGAAAAAGAAGGGGAAATTATGTATGTATGTGTGTACAGGATAGCTAATATAGTTGTACTACTGACTTCTATTGCTTTACTGAAAGGACAGTTAATGATTACTTATTTGATCAATCTTGCATGTCTCTATTTGTTTTCCTGAGAAACCCTTGAAGATATCAATATGTAATACAACAACCATTGGGGCTGGGGATTTAGGTCAGTGGCACCGCGCCTGCCTGGCAAGTGTGAGGTCGTGAGTTTGATTCCTGGTACTGGAGAAAAACCAAAAATAAACAAACAAACAAAAAAATACAACAACCATTGTTAATTTCCTACCACTTTGCCTGTTATCCTGTATTGCCTGTATTGTTCTTATGCTATTTTGTAAATGGATGTCTGTTTGTTAATATGTTTTCCTTCTTTTATTTTTAAAATAAATTTTAAAAAATTGATGGTTTAATGAGTCAACTTTCATTTGTAAACTTCAGGTCATTATATAGGTCAGAGTGTTTGTTTTGTGAATGAACCAGGATCTAGTTGTTGAATGCCTGAAGGGGAATAAATTTTAATTGGGTTGACAAAATGAGAATTCTTACTGTATACTTCCTCTTTCTATATCCAGTTTATATAGTTGACCTTACTAGTTTGTTCCAATTCAGATGTTAATTTGGACATTAATAGTTGTGAATTTTTTGGTTAAGCTTTAAGTTCTCATAGATTTAAACTGTGGTAAGCATTTGTCAGCATTTCAAAGCCACAGTATTACATTATTGCTAATATAATTACCAAAATACCTCCTGGGTAAAATAAATGCTTTAATGAAAACAGGATCAGAAGTTTGCAAATAGATTTATTAGGAAAAATAACTTTACAATGGGATGGCTTTATGTTTTTTAAAATTGACGTTCAGTTTATCAGTCTGAAAGCATTAACTGATAAAATGTAGAAGTAAAAATTGAATGTGTCAATGAGCTTTATTATTTCAGTGAACATTATTAATATAAATTTTACTTTGTCTATTTTGCATTTATTTAGCTCAAGTCACGTATTCAGAAGAGTGTTTTTGAAGATGATCTCTCCTTCTTAAAATTCACTGGATCTATTTTGTATAGTTATGAAGCTAGTGATTGCTCTTTCCTATCAGAAGATATTAGGTAAGAGATTCGAATTAGCTAATTTTATTGATTTTGGACCCTTAGAACACAATAACTATTATGGTAGTATTTGTAAGTACACTGAGTTTTACAGTTGACTTATGTTTCAGAGGTAATTATTTCTATATACAGATTATCACTGTTTGATTTTTTAAGTAAAATAATCATGGAATTGTTTGTAATGTGTCTATTACTTTATTTATTTATTTATTTTTTGGGGGGGCGTTTTTCCAGTACCGGTAATCAAACTCACGACCTTGCACTTGCCAGGCAGGCGCTGTGCCGCTGAGCTAAATCCCCAGCCCTGTTTATTTATTTATTACTTTATTTTTTTATTTTAAAGAGTAAAAGAAGGATAACATAATAATAGGAGGGGCTTACCAAATTACAGACAGAGTGGTAGGAAATTATCAATGGTTATTGTTTTACATATTGTTATCTATAAGATAGTTTCTCAGGAAAACAAATAGACAAATGATAGTGAGTTACAGACAGAGGAGGTAGGAGATTATCAATAGTTGTTGTACTATACTTAGGTATCTTCAAAGTGGCTTCTAAAGAAAATAAATAGAACTATACATGAGTGACCTACCGAATAATCATTCAATAATTCTCAATGGTTGTTGTAGGAAACACATAATAATAAACATGGATCCATTTATGAAACAGGATAGGAAAAATGCAAACATTACAGAGTTATGGGTAGATTAGTAGGAAGATATCAATGACTGCTGTAATACATGGTGGTATCTTCAAAGTGGTTTCTCAGGAAGAGAGAGATACACAAGAAGGATCTAACAAGTAGTTACAGCCTAAGGGTTGTCAAAAATCAAGTGTCGTCTGGGGTAAAAGCCATTTTTTGTAGCGTTTTCTCTCCAGCCTCCCATCGCATTGGGACCCCACAACCAGTTAGTGTCCTCTCCCCAACTGTCAGCACAGGCAGCAGGAATCCTGCTGCAGACTTCTCTGGAGCTCCACCATAGCCTGTACTGTCAGGGGAAGAATGGCTTCCAGGGAGTCTCTGCAGGTATTGTGCAAGGTCCTCCTGGTTTACAGCTTCTGAGTGGCTCTCGTGACCCCAGTCCACTGGACCTCTGACTCTGTGGGCTTAGTCTGCATTCTCATGTTCTCTGAGTCCTTGTTCAGCAGCTGCTCCTCTGCTGACTCTGGACCTTTCTGGTTCTCAATGGCAGGAGCAAGAGTGACCCGTTGTATGGCATGTATTCCCAGGGGTTGTTCAAAGTTTGAATGATTCACACACATCCCATGGTGGGCCAATTGTGTCACTGTTTCTCTGTGTCATGATAGATCTCAATTGAGTGGCGGCAGCTGGCCTAAGGGCTGGCGCGCAACAGCGCTCGCCACCGCATGGCTCCCCATGCGCCGGGGGCCCTCCCTCCGGGGGCCTACGAGGCAGGAAGCTAGCCAGCCGGAAGACAGGCCCTCCCTGCCCATGGCTCCCTGTGCGCAGGAAGCCCTCCTTCCAGGGGCCTACGAGGCCGGGAGTGAGCTGCCGGTCCGATGACTGGCGCTCCCCGCCCGAGGCTCCCTGTGCTCCTGGGACCCTCCCTCCGGGAGCCTACAAGGCAGGAAGCTAGCCAGCCAGAAGACCGGTGCTCCCTGCCCGAGGCTCCCTGTGCACCAGAAGACCTCCCCTGTTTATTACTTTAGATTAATTTTTTTTTACTTTTAATTTTTATGGTGTTAAATATAGAACTATTGAACGCATTGTGTATATTTTACTGATTTCTGGAAAAAGTTGCTAAATATACCTTTATATCTTAAAACATAACACTATTAATATTGAAAAGTGGTTATGCTTTGGTGTGTTTTATTCAGGTAGTGATAGTTACATCAAGAAGTGCCTAAAAAGACCATTAGAAATGACTGGTAGTACTTTTTATTATTGCTTTTTGTCCTGTTTTCTGCTTCTGAAACCAAATTAACACCTATAGGATAAGTTATAAAGACAATAAATTTGTTTCTCAGTGTTGGAAGCTAGGAAATCCAGTAGTGATACATTGGCATCTGAGGAGGGACTTTGTGCTTTGGGATAATGTGGTGAAGAACAAAGGAGCAGAGACAATAAAGGGGGCTGAACTGAAACCTACTCTCTCGACAGCCCGCCCTCTCCCTTGGTAACAATCCTTTCAGGAGTGCAGAGCCCCTGTGATCTCATCACCTCTTATTTGGCCCCACCTCCCAAGATTGTTTTATTGAGGATTTTAGTTTTGACATGAGTTTTGAAACCATAGCACTTTGTTAAATTAAGACTGCAATAAACCAATCTCAGACTCTTCAAGCATTTTACAAGGAGAAGTAATAAGGAGTTAATTCAGATCTATTTTGAAGTTATCTGCCTACCTCCCTTTCTTTTTTTACTGTTACTTATTTTCCTTAAAAAAAGCAGAAATAGCTGGGCATGGTGGCAACATACCTTTACTGTCAGTACTGTGATCACTGAGCCAGGAGTATTTTGAGTTTGAGGCAGCCTAGGTTATATAATGAGACACTGTGTGAACCCTGCTCCTTAAAAGCAGAAGTACATGTTCTCTTTGTGGTAGAATTTTTCTAGAAATACACTCAGGTATCTTCACTTCCACTCCTGTTTTCTGGCCACTTTTGGTGTAATTACGTGGAATTCAATTAGACTCACAGAGAAGGTAAAAATCTATTATGATTATATATAAACTTCACCAACGTTTGCATTGCTGTGTTGTTTGTGAAGGCAATAATCATAAAGAATTGCCTTTATGAGGAATTCTTCATTTTTCATGAAGAGTTCTTCAATAATCGAGAAGAATTCTTCATTTTTCTTGAAGAATTCTTCAGTAATCATGAAGAATTACAGTTTTGAGGAATTGTATGTTGTAAAAGGCAGTTTTTGTTTTGTTTTATATTCTCCCTTCTCTGACCATTTTTAAGATTCACCCTCCCGTGTGTGTGTGTGTGTGTGTGTGTGTGTATGTGTGTGTATGAAGTGTGTTTTGAGGATTTAAACCAGGACCTGTGCACTGGACTATATCCCCACCCCTTTCAGTTTTTGTTTTTTTGAGATGGGTTCTTGTAGTCCTCCTACTTCAGCCTCCCCAAGTGCTGTGAATATAGGCATGCACAACCATGCCTGGCTGACTTTAAGATTTTTAATGTAACAGTTTCCCCACAATTTGATTATGATGTATCTTTTTGAGACAGGGTCTTACTCTGCAGTTCAGGCTGGCCTTGAGCTTACTTTGTAACCCAGGCTGGTCTTGAACTCGCAACGATCCTCCTGCCTCAGCCTCCCAAGTGCTGGGATTACAGGCGTGCACCACCACGCCTTCTGATATATCTTTGTATAGTATGGTTTGTGTTTATCCTGCTTAGCGTTCATTGAGTTTTTTTTTTTTTTTTAATTTATAGGTTTATAGTTTTCATCAAATTTGAAAATTTCTTCTCTTATCCTGCAATTCTTTTCTCTTTCTGGACTTTCAGTAAGTTAGACTGCTTGATACGGTTTCCTTTCAGTTCCCCACCTCATTTTGTGTCTTCAAGTTGGCTTAGATATTTTTCTTCTGTATTATCTCACCTGCTGTTTATCCCTTCCTATAAATTTTTTGTTTTAGATATTTTTCATTTCTAGAAGTTTTATATAAAAATATGTCTACCATTTTGGTTCTTAATATTTTCATAGTTTCTTTTAACTTCTTGAACATTTTTAGCATATTCATAGTAGTTTTAATGTATTTATTTGTCTTGTTAATTTCATTATTCTAGGCTTGTTTTTTCCTCTTGTGTTAAGTGATTACTGTCCTGGACATGGCTCATATTTTCCTGTTTATCTTTTGGCTGTTAATTGTGCTGATTAGATGTTGTGAGTTTACCTTGTTGAGTGTTAGATTTTGGCTTCTTTTAGAGAAAGGAGCTTTATTCATCAGTTATTTGAAGATCAGCTTTATATTTTGAGACTTACGTTTAAAATTTTATGTCTTAGTTGCTTGCAGTTGCTGACATGCAGTACCCAACACCTGCAGCTGAAGGAGGAGAGATTTATTTTTGGCTCATGTTTTAGAAGTTCCAGACCTTACTGGGTGGTTGGCTCTAGGTAGAAGTGGCACAGTGGGAGAGTTTGGTAGAGGAAAGGTGCTCACCTCATGGCAGCCAGGAAACAGGCAAGGGAGTGGCAGAAAAGCAAGATACATTCTTCCAGGTTATGCCCATAGTGACCTACATCTTCAGACAAGACCCTGCCTCTTAACAGCAAGTCAGCTATAATGTCCCTGTAACCCAGTCACCTTGCAGTTGAACACATGAGGCTTTGAGGGCTATTTTAGATAGAAATCATAACAGTTACCTTTAGTCTAACAGTAATTTAAAGGGTGACCCTTCTGCCTTGTGACCATGACACTAAGTGAAATAAATGAGACATGGAAGGTAAAATATGAGATAGTTTCTCTTCCATGAGAAACCCAAAGTATAAATAATTTAAAGAGCAGAATAGAGGACAGATGACAGGAAGCAGGGAAGTAGACCTTTTGTAGATGGGAGGACACCCAAGGATCGAGGGAATGGGATAGGGAAACTAAAAAGGGTTAAGATGAAATATGTATATGCACTAACCCCCTGCAATGAATGTACTCCTGTATCCTAAACATATACTAAAATAAAAGATGCTAAGAAAAATATGACCCTTCTGGAGTCTGCTGGCTTCCTCAAGTGAGCAACAAGAATTTCTGCTGTGACTTTTCAGAACTTAAGGCCTGCTACCTCTGTGTAATCCCAAGAATGGTGCAGTTTATAGCTCCGCCATGGTTCTCTGCTCAGCTTCATATAGTTCCAGACTATGCATGCATCTCTTAATATTCTACAAAGACTCAAGGAGACCCTATCAAGACTTTGGAGTTCTCCTGCCTGCCACGTTCCTCTGTAGTATTCTGCCCTACAAGTCCCAGCTGCCTCAGCTTCTGTGGCTGTGAACTCTGGCTCCCCAGCTCAGTGTTCTTGGGATTCTTCTTGCTGTTCTGTTGTCTGGCAAGTTTCAGGCAGGCAGAATGTGAGGTCAGCTGTAAGGCTCCCTCTTTGCTTCTCTTTCCTCAGAGAGTGGAGTCCTGCACAGCCTGCTGTGTTTTGTCCAATTATCATTTGTTTTTAGTAGAAGGGTGAGTCTGGTTTCACTTAATTCTATATTGGCTTGAAGCAGAAGTTGAATTTTTTATTTTTAAAATATATTTTAAAATTTAAAAATTGTGAAATAGGCAAATATAAATAATAATAGGTAATATACTAGATACACATATTCTTTTTTTTATTTTAAAGAATAAAAGAAGGATAACATAATAATAGGGGGGACTTAGCAAATTACAGACAAAATGGTAGGAAATTATCAATGGTTATCATTTTACATATTATTATCTACAAAATAGTTTCTCAGGAAAACAAATAGACAAATAATAATGAGTTAGAGACAAGAGAGGTAGGAGATTATCAAGAGTTGTGCTATACTTTGTATCTTCAAAGTGGCTTCTAAAGAAAATAAATAGAGCTATACATGAGTGACCTATTGAAAAATCATTAACTATTCTCAATGGTTGTTGTAGGAAACACCTAATAATAAACATACATTATGAAATAGGATAGGAACATTACAAACTTAACACAGTTATGGATAGATTAGTAGGAAAATATCAGTGGCTGCTGTAATACATGGTGGTATCTTCAAAGTGGTTTCTCAGGAAGACAGAGATATGCAAGAAGGATCTAATAAGTAGTTACAGCCTAAGGGTTGTCAAAAATAGCATATTACCTCCTCACCAGTGACTCCTTTCACTGAGGTATGATGGCTGGAAGGAAGGCCAGGATTGAAAAGAAGGACCGAGAGACTTGCACCTGTGTCTAGCAACAGGCTGTTTTCTTGTTCCTCCATAGTCATGATTACCCAGGGCTCCTCGATGGAGATGACGGTCTGGCCAGAGTAGATACACATATTCTTTCTACCTAGTTTATAAAATTTTTTTTTTTTCTGATCCTGGGGGTTGAACCTAGGGGGTTTACACTGAGCTATGTCTCCAGACCTTCCAAAAAAATTTTTATTTTAAATTTTGAGACACCTCTCCAAGTTAACCAGGCTGTGCTCAAAGTTACACTCTTTCTACCTCAGCTCTACGTAATACTGGTATTACAGGCAAGTGCTGCTTAATCAAATCTTAACATTCATTTTCTTCAAATCTTTATTAAGGATTGCAACTATAAAATACAGGTGAAACTGTAGATATAATTTTTTTATTTTCCCATGCCCCTTAAGATAACTTCTATCATGAATTCGATGTTTAGCATTTTCTTTTGTTTTTACTATTCCTTCATAATTTTATATCCCAAAATATATATCATTTCTCTTGTTAAAAACATTTACAAATGGTATTAAATTGTATGTATAAGTATACTCTATGTTTTTCATTTAATGCTATGTCTTAGATAATTTTTCTCTGTAGCTCCATTTCAACTTTTCTAGATTATTGCAGTTTTCATATTTCACTATTTGTTCATTTTCTTTTTGACAGTTCTTTTTTTTTGCCAGTAGAAACAATGTTGCACTGTATATTCTTAAATGTCCATCTCTTTATATACGTACTAGAGTTTCATATGTTTATGAGAAAAGATTGTCAGGTCATACATAGTATTTGTGCATCTTCAAATAGATCTTGTTAAAAGTTTTTCCGAGAGAATTTTTACCAATTTATGTGTTCATCAGAAATGAGCAGTCCCAGCCATAGATGTGCTTTCCTGCACTTAATATTGTGAATCTTTAATTTTTGTTAATCAAATACATGTAAAATTGTGTAGAGAAAATTGGAGCTTTTATATACCTATTTGTCTTTATTAGCTATTTTGATTTCTTTGTATGAATTGCATGTTCCTGTTTGTCTTTATTTTTTTGCTAGATTATTGTATTTTCTTAATTTTTGGAGTAACTTTTAATATTTTCTGGTTACTCATTGTTAGTTATATGTATTACTTGTACCTTCTACCAGTCTGTAGCTTACCTTTTTAATTTTTGAATGATCTCTTTAGTTATGCAAAAATTTAAAATTTTAATGCAATTAATCTTCACTACATTTCTCCCCTTAGCCAGAGTCTGTCTACTGGAGATGTGATAGGATTTGATATGGAATGGCCACCAATATACAAAAAAGGGAAACAAAGCACGGTTGCACTCATTCAGTTGTGTGTGTCTGAGAGCAAATGTTACTTGTTTCACATTTCTTCTATGTCAGGTTGGTTGTCTCTTTTCTTTCATTTTTTATTGAAATTGTAATATGTCAACTTTATCCCTATAAAATTAATCTACTAAGCTACTAAGCTGGCTCTTCTCTGAGCATCTTATATGTAAGTATTTAGTTTCATCCTGATTTACTCATGTTCCCTGTTTCATTGAATTTTTATGACATTCTGTGAGACATCTATATTTTTCTTGTTTTAAAGGGAGAAGTGAAGTTTAGAGAGTGTTAACAATAGGGATGTACTGCTGACGCTAGCTGAGGTGACATTCAGACCTATTTTTGCTTATCACTTATCCATTAGGAGTTTTTGTCTTAGGTAAGAACAGAAATACTTAGGATGAATATGTTTCTGAATTTAAGCTTAACATAAATACAAATTTAAAAATACATGTGGCATTTATAAGAGGTGAGAATACTTAACAGATATTATAGAAATAACAATGTAATATTATAGTTTTTCCTAGGGGATTAAAAATGTTGCTTGAAAATGAAAGAATTAAAAAGGCAGGTGTAGGAATTGAAGGAGATCAGTGGAAACTTCTACGTGACTTCGACATCAAATTGAAGAGTTTTGTGGAATTGACAAATGTTGCCAATCAAAAGGTAGATATGTATAATTTTTTCCTTAAAGAAGATAATTTTGTGTTTTTACAATATGCCTTCTATCTGAATGTTACACTTTTTGAAAAAATAATTTAAGCTATATACTGTTTTTGTAGCAACAGAGTTCTCTGGATTGTATTTGGGTATAAAATTCCTAGTTTTATTTGTGGCGTGGTTATTTGGTGGTCTTCAGGGATATCTCATAATAGCAGGAAGTAATGTTTGCTGTATTACTTTTTCATCACTTCCAGTTGAAATGTACAGAGATCTGGAGCCTCAATGGTCTGGTTAAACACCTCTTTGGTAAACAACTTCTGAAAGATAACTCTGTCCGCTGTAGCAACTGGAGTAATTTCCCTCTCAGTGAGGATCAGAAACTGTATGCAGCCACGGATGCTTATGTATGTACTTACAGATGTCAAAGGGTTCAGATCTCTTGGGGTGCTTTTTGAAACCTTGTTATACATTACTTTACAGAATTTTTATTGTGATGATGGCATAAACTCAACTAAGATACTTAGTATTAGTTTGGCATTAAAAATGCTTTCATCAAGTGAAACTTAGTTCTTGATATAAATTAGCAAGTACCAATCAACAGATTGTTGAGTGCTATTTATTTTCACTGTCATGATTCCAAAATAATGTTCAATTCGTGGGTAAAAGAAATGTGAAACTGCTGAAAACGTGAAAGGCTAATAAAGTTTTGGCTCAGCAAGCACAAATGGTATTGATGATGTATTTGATATGTAGCAATTCAGGATAAGAATAATTATAAAACAGTTTCTATATTGCAACTGGCCTTATTTCTTATATTTATTTTTAAACTATAGTGAAAATGTAGAAAAATTGCCTCCAAATTTGACTTGCTGCTTCTGTTTTATATTTACAAGTTTATACATGAAATCTGAGCTTTATATGTTGTACTGTCCTGTGTGTCTATTTTAATGTTTAAAATACAGTACATTTTTTCCTGCAGTCCATTTCTTACCCTTTAGTTGGTAATTTTTATTTATTGATGAATATCTTTTTGTTTTCCATTTTGCCTCTGTTTTTAGGAGTGGAAGCTCATTTAATTTGTAACCAGAAAAAAAATTAATTTTTGTCAAGGACATAGGGTATAATATCCTTCTTTAAAATGTACAGCAATTGTTGAGACTAGGACAAGTTCTATAGCATTTTTATTCATAAAAATTCAGTGTGATTTGATTTTTCCTGTTAACAGTATTTACAAGGAGGATTTTTCACACCCTAACATTCTTCATGATTTAATGAAATGGAAGGAAGTAAATATCTGTGGTCAAAACAGATTTCTCTCCTTAGTATGTATTTTGCGAGAGTTCATTTACAAGGAATTTGATTTGGATATTTGCTTATAATATTAAGCGTTAGTGAAAACTTGAATTTCCTTTTAGCATGAGGCAGCTTTCCCCATTCTCATAACTCTGGTGATTACTTGAAGACACACAGATGTTTATGTAACAGTATTCGGTTGAATTTAGTTTTAGGGGTGCTTTGAGAATCAGTTTTTGGATTTTTCTAAAGGTAGGACATAAAATGTTATTTAAGTTATCTTTATTCAGCTTGCAGTTTGTCTTTTTTCCTGTTTTTCCCTAGGCCGGTCTCATCATTTATCGAAAATTAGAAAGTTTGGGTGATGCCATACAGATGTTTGATACAAATAAAGGTATGTTATGAACGCCAAAGATAAAGTGTGAATTGCCTGTTTTGTGAGAGTTATTCACACAACGTGAAATATCTTTATTCAAAATGACAGTATTTTCAGATTTGTAAAGTGTTTCATATTATTACAGCTTTCCTTTTCATTAGTGCCTGTCTGCAGTCCATACTGATTGCATCCCTTGTGAGGAGTTGGTGCCTGTGTAACACATCCCAGTTCTTTTTTCATCCCATTGGCCTAGCTTCTTCCCCCTTTCTTCAGTCTCTTGATCCTCTTTATTTGAAAAACGTCTATCTCCCTACTTTCTATTACCACTCTTCTATTTTGCCCTTTATATTTTGATTTCTTATATAAGAGAAACCATGCACTATTGAAGCTGTGTGATTTATTTCACTTAACATTATGGTCTTAAGGTGCATCCATGTTCCTACAAGTGACTCAAGTTTAACATTCTTCATGGCAGAGTAGTACTGCACTGTGTAAGACTATGACATTTTCTTTATCTGCTCATCTGTTGATGGACATACGGCCACTTGCTAGATTTAACTTTTATGAATTTGGTGCTGTAGACATGGGTATGAACATATCACTGACTTTAACTCTTTTGGAAATATACCTAAAAGGAGAATAGTTGTGTGAATAGAATTTCTTCTATTCTCAGTTTTTTTGAGGAATCTCCATATTGATTTCCGTAATGGTTGTACTAGTTTATATTCCCTCCAACAATGTAGAGAGGTTCTTTTTTACCTGCAGCCTTGCCAGCATTTGTTATTACTTGATTTCTTGATGGTAGGCATTCTTTCTGTTTTAAGATGGAATCTCAGTGTTGTTTTAATTTGCATTTCTTTAATTGCCAGAAGTAGTGAACATTTCTTCATGTATTTATTGGTCATTTGAACTTTGTTTGAGAAGTGTCTCTTCATTTTAGTTGCCCATTTTTGGATTGGGACTTCTATTTTGGAGGGGAATCCTAATTCTTTTGAGTTGTTTGTATGTTCTAGATCTTAGTCCTTTGAAGAACAGCTAGAAATTTTTTTTTTTAATCAATCTAGGTTGGTTGTCTCTTTGCTCTGTGGTTTGTTTCTTTTATTCTGCAGAAGCTTTTTAATTTGATATGATCCCATTTGTTGATCCTTGGTACCATTTCCTGTGTACTGTGGTTCTTTTCAGAAGTCCTTGCCTCTGAATCTGACTTCAAGAGTTTTCCTCATTTTAATCTTCCCTCAGATTGTTTCTGTTTTACCATTTGGCTGTTGATCCATTTTTAGGTTAGTATATGGTGAGAGATATGGGTGTAGATTCATCTTCTGCATATAGATAGCCAATTTTCTCAGCTCCATTTATAGGAGAGGTAATTTTTCTTCTGGTTTATGGTTTTGGCTCCTTTGTCAAAGAGCAAATAGTGGAATGTAGCTGGGTTTTTTCTGCATCCTCTATTCTGTTCCATTGATCCACGTATCTGTTATTGTGCCAGAACTATATAGTTTTTATCACTGCAGTTTTTTATTTTTATTTTTATTTTTTTTTTGGTTTTGGTTTTTTTCTGGTACCAGGGATTGAACTCATGACCTTGCGCTTGCCAGGCAAGTGCTGTGCCACTGAGCTAAATCCCCAGCCCCATCACTGTAGTTTTGTCATATAATTTGAAGTCCAGTAATGTGTTGTTGTTTTTATCCAGAGTGGCTTTTACTATTGTTTCTTTTTGGTTCTGCATGAATTTTAGGATTGTTTTCTCCAGTTCTGGGAAGAATGCTGTTGATGTTTTGATTGGGATTGTGTTACATCTGTATATCAGTTCTGGAAGTATTCCTATTTTGACTGTATTGGTTTTGCCTATCCAGGAATGGGATATTTTTCCATTTTCTGATGACTTCTTTATCTCCTTTTTCAGAGCACTGTAGTTTTTATTGTAGAAATATTTCAGTTCTTTGGGTAGGTTAGTTTTTAAGTATTTAATTATTGTTGGTGCCATTGTGAATGGTGTTTTTTTTGTAATTACTTCCTCGATTTTATTATTGGTGCATAGGAACACTGTTGATTTTTGTTGAGTTGATTTTGTATCCTGCTGCATTGCTGAATTTGGATATTAACTCTACGAATCTTTTGGTGGAATTTTTTTGGTCTTCTATATATAGTATCATGTCATCTGTAAATAATGATAATTTGACTTCTTCCTTCCCTATACATATCCCTTTTTTTCTTGTCTAATTGCTCTTACTAATGTTTTGAGTACTGTGTTGAACAGGAGTAGGATAGTGGACATTCATGTTTTATTACTGATTTTTGAAGAAAAATTTTCAGTTTTTCTCTAATATGATGACAGTAAGTTTCTAATAAATGGCTTTTATGAGATTGAGATAATGTTCTATACCTATTTCCTTCAGTGTTTTTATCAGGTATGGATGTTGGATTTTGTCAAAGAATTTTACTGCAATTATTGAGATGATCATGTGATTTTTGTCCCTTTGTTTATGTGATGTATTACATTTATTGATTTGTGTATGTTGCACAAGCCTTGTGTCCTTGGGATGAAACCTACTTGGTCATGATGTATGATCTTTTTATTTATTTATTGCTTTCTGTTTGCCAATATGCAACACTGAAGATTTTTCATGTATATTTATTAAAGAGATTCATTAAACGGAGTCATTAAAGAGATAGTTCCCTTTTTTTTTGCGGGATCCTTTTCTGGTTTTGGAATCAGGGTAATATCGGCTTTCAGCAATGACATCAGGAGTGTTCTTTCTGTTTCAGTTTCATTAATAAGCTTGAGGAGTGTTGATGTTAGATCTTCCCTAAAGTTTTTATAGCATTCAGCAGTGAGCTGGGCTTTTCTTAGTTGGTATATGTATTTTTTTACTACTGCTTCAATTTCATTGCCTGTTATTGTGTTATTTGGGTTTTCTAAATATGTTGGCTAAGTTTTGGTAATTCATATATATATATAGGAATGTATCATTTCTGAATTTTTCAATATATTGGCATACATGTTTGCAAAGTATTTACTAATAATTACCTGGATTTCTGTGGTGTCCACTGTGATTTTGCCTTTTTCATATCTAATTGCATTGATTTTGGTCTTTTCTTTCCTTTTTGGGTAAAATTGGTGTCTTACTTTCTCATTACTGGGACAAAATACTCAATATCCACAAGTTAAAGGAGGAAAGGTTTATTTTAGCTCATGGTTTATAGAGGTTTTGCGCTGTAGTCTGCTGGTTCCAAGGTGGAATGACATGGCAGAGGAGAAACTGTTCATGGCATGGTAGGCAGGATTCAGGATTCAGTGAACTTGCTTTCCTTCTTTCTCTTTATATTTCATCACCCAGGCTACAAGTCTATTGATTGGTTCCATCCACACTCAGGGTGGGGCTCCCCTCTTCAGTAATCCCCACCATGCTAAACCAGTAGACCAATCCAGTTGTCATACATCCATAATCCAGGATCACGCAGCTATGATCTAGCCACCTCCTAAAAGCTGCACTTACAAGCACATCAGGCTTTGTAGGGGGCATCTACATTTAACCCATAACATCCCACCACCGACCACCGAAAGACTCATGTGCATCCCTTTATGCAAAATGCATTTAGTTCATCTCTAAGAACTGCCAGAGTCCCAACAGTATCAGCACTACTGAAAAGTCCAAATCTAAAGTTTCCTCTAAGATTTAAGGCAGTCTTAGCTACGAGTCCCTGTAAAAATGTAAGGAAAGTTAAACATTTCCAACTTTACAATGGTACAAGGTAAACATTCCCATCTCAAAAGGTAGAAATTGTGTGATAAAATGAATGGGACCAAAGCAAGACCAAAATCCAGCTGCACGAGCATTAAATTCCATAGTTCCATGTTCAGCAAGGTGGGAGGATGTGAACTTCAAAGGGCTTGGGTGGCTCTGCTCCTATGGCACTGCCAGTAGTGGTAGCCTTCATGGCTTCTCTCTTGGGCCACTGTTGTAAGTAAGGTTTACAAGGGAAAAGATTTAATACAGGACACATAATTTAGAGGATTATTTTATAATATTCACCCAAAGAGTCAAATGCAAAAGACTGTGGGAGATCTGTCCATGCACTGGAGACCCAAAGAATCCAGCTGAGGGCCTGAATCCCATAGCAGTGTCTTGAGTGAGTCCAGCTGAAGACCTAGAGCCCCTGGCAACATCCTCCATGAGTCCAGCTGGAAGTCTAGAGGCCACAACAATGCCTCATGCAAGTCTGTATCAAGGATCTGACCTGGTAAGACCCAGTGGTCAGTGGTGGAAGCTGGAAAGTCCATGCTGGAGAGATGAAGGATCTGTGCCAGCTGGCTGAGGGATCTGCATGGGAGCCAAGAAGCAATGCTAAAGGTAAGGACCTGAGATCCCTTGAAAAGTACCACAGCCATCCTCAGCAACATCCTGAGCTCCTCTGATGATGAGAACAACTGTGTTCCTATCAGGAAAACCAGTGCAACAAGCTTCTCCTGGAAAATCAACAGCACACCCTCTACCCCTCCAATTCTCCTTTTTATGCTATTAGCAACAATCCTCAGGGGGCCATCCATACACAGCACCGCACTAATTAAGTTTAACTTGGTGTTACAATTTGACCCTTAGTTAATACACCATGCCAGCATTGCTCATTCATTGCAACTTTCCTCAGATGATCCCTGTTCCTGGCTTGTCCAGTCTTCTCAGATCTCCACTGTACTTTCAGCTTCATACCTTTAGCTTCACACATCTACCTTCAGGGATACACTGCCTGGCTTTCCAGGCCTTCTTCTGAAATGTAGATGGAAGATTCCTGACCCGACAACTCTTGCATTCTGCATGTATCTAAAACAAGCACTACGTGGATGATGCCAAGATTTGCTGCTAGCTAGAGCAGTAGCCAAGCTTTCTTCTCTCTTGGCTGTAAGGGTTGAGTACCTAGATAGCTGACCAATCCTGAGGAACAAATTCCCTAGGCTGCCTCCCTTCTGGAAAATGGTGCCCTGGGCATTCTTTTGAAAGCAAAGTCTTTCTTTCATCTTT